TTTGTTAGATGATAAAATGTCTTAATTTATTGAAATGCTATTGTTTTATTAGAGGGGATACAACATACAGACAATACTAACATTAGTTTGCTTTCATTCACTAAAGCAAACTTGAAATTGAAATTTTAGTGTGCTCCCTTTCTCAATCCACTAATTCGTTACATCGATTTTGATTTAGAGATATTTGGTACACTTGCACGTATGTTAGGGGGCAACATCATAGAAGCTTTCCGTCGAGAAATTTAGATCCATGAAAGATGAAGGTCCACACGTCTCTTTTATGGTAATCGAATGATGAGGGTCCATCAACGCATAATATCCTTTTACTTTCTTTTTCGTTTGCAAAAGGTCTATGGTTCCACAATAAAAGCAAGTCGTCTTTGGAAATCTGAGTCAGTTAGCTAACATTGTTGATTTCATCCCATTACCCTATCACCCTCAATATACGTGGTGGAATGCATAACACTATATTTTATAGGTGTCTACTTTTTAGCTTTGAGAATTGTGCGTGAACGATAAAATGACAACGACCGGAGACATCATGCTATCAATATAAGGAACCATTTTTTTTTTGAATCGCCGACGAAGGGGTGGTGTTATTGCCACAGCCACTACGGTTAATACCACAGTTTTTTTTAATTATTTGACTATTATACCCCTCATTTGAATCCAACTTGCAGCAGTCACCACCTTCTCCGCGTGGGTTAATGGTCAATTAATTAAAAAAGCTGTGGTGTTAACCTTTGAAGCTGTGGCAATAACACCACCCCGACGAAGTTCTTTCTTTGCTTTCCTGAAAAGCTTGGAGTTTTATTCTCTGCTGCTCCAGTGGTAGGATGTCAGCAAATATGCTATATAGTTACAGATAAAATCTAAAGTTATATTGTTAAAATTAAATCGTAAGTATTGCAATATAGTTATAGATATGTAACTATGCTCCTGACAATATTCTTACAGTTTCAAATTTCGGTAGGTAAAGAAAAACACCTTTAGGTTATATACTCACGTCATAAAATCATAGATAAAAAAAAAAAACCTATATTTGTAAACCATAGATAAAGACCAATGCCCAATTGCAGTGACGAAACAATGGTTACCGTATCACCGTTTAGCCTCACTATTTGTTGTAGCCAAACATATTATTTAGCAATACTTTAAGTCGTTGCAAAGTTACATTTTGTAACCATTATAATCTTTTCTAAAACTAATAATTGGAAACATAAATCATTGTTAAAGTAATATAAAGAGCAACTTTAGTTATTATTTAAAAGAATATTTACAACAACAAAAGTTGTTGGAAAAAGATGTATTTTACAATTACATTAGTTGCTGCCTGTTTCATAAAATGATATTTTATTAATATAATTAAATAACTGTAGGTCCCTGGGTGTTTTAATTTTTATGGGATTATTATTGAAAAATAATTGAGAACTAATTTTTTCATATAATCTTTCCATACAATCTTACATAATTTTTACAATTATGGGCTTTAAAGTACAAAAGGTAGACAACCTATCTGGTCTTCGTTTTCGGGCTGTTTTGCATATGTAAGCCAACCTGGGC